CAGGGCTTCAAGGCTTTAGAACTCGTCTTGCAAGTAAGTAGACGGTTTACGTTGAGCTTAGTGTTTTCAAGTGTCTAACCAGAGTTTAAGGTTTGGGGGTTCGCGCAAAAAATTACATCTGACGTTGGAAATGCCGGATCGCTTTCAAGAGTGCACACATACCCTTGACACAGTGGCCGAAATGCAGTGGTCGAGGTTTTGTATTTTGGCTCTATAGGGTTTGTGTTGAGGGTTGAGTTTTGGCTTATGGCTGGGAGTGTACCGCTGAGTCTCAGATGCTTCGGTGACTCATGCTGCAACATCATAGCGTGATTTCGATAGCCAACCAGCAAGCCTCACCAATCCACCAAGTATCCTTGACAACTTGAAGAGAACATCCCCTTAAAAGCCCCCTACACGTGCGCCCTCAGCCCGAAACAATCCAGAGTCTACACGGATTTTGCAGGCCTTCTCCGTCCAGCTCCTTGTCTTGAAGACACGAATACCTGCTTTTGAGGCTTGAAGAACCCTGAACTTCAACCCTGGGCCACTCACTAAACTCTACATTTATTCCTTGGCCCACAAACAGAAAACCACGCTCTTCAGAGTCGGGTTTTCTGCCTATTGGGTCGATCTTCATATTGTGGCAGTACGTGGCGGATGCCCAAGGCTCCGGTGGCTCCGCTGCGTAGTAACGTAGTGTGACACAGTAAGGGTGCACTTGGAGCTGCTGCTGTCTTCCACGGTTAAAGTTTTACACAAAATTTCGTGGTGCTGAGGTACCTGCTGCTTGGGAAGTGCCGTCGGCCTTCACATCTGGGGCCAACACTGGCCGCCCCGACTGGAGAGCGAAGCCCTCGAAAACCCTCATGAACCCGCCAGGATACTCATAAAGGCGCTGCATCCGGGACGGGCAGTTTGCCGGCTGAGGTCGGGCAAACTGTCGTCGTCATCAGAGTCGTCATCCCACACTATGGCCGACGCTCCTCCTGCGCATGCGTCGAGTCGTGTCGAGCTGCTGTTACCATGGAGGCAAGTCAGTCGGCACCTATGCGTTCTCCCACATGATCTCTTGCTTAGCTACAAGACAATGGCCCCAGGGCTACAGCGGCCAGCTGAGCTCCCGATTGGGCTAAATGCATTCAACCAGACGCGCTTGAGTCGGGGCCAGGATGCAAGCAAAACCCGTCGACTCCTTTATATACATCCTACACCCCAACAACTCCCCAAGACGCTGCCGTCAAACTCCTGAGAGCCCTGAACTCTGCATCCTGAACCTCCTCCTGAACTCAACTCACAGTAGACGTCCTGGAGCCACCTTGCTCCGGCGAACTCGCATGCTGTGAAAAGACCCGAGTGATTCCTGCGACTCGCACGGCGAAATGCCTTGGAATCACTGAAGGCCAGCCGGTCGAGTTTGGCGCATGCAAAGAATACGGAATGCTTTAATCTGCGCACTAAGAACGAACATTGGACTATTACATAAGCCATTCTTACTCGCATTTGCTAACGATATGGCAGCAGCATTGGATAAACAAAGTGTCTTAGCAAACGTTAGAAGATGTCAGAGGGAGGTGGAAGATAGAAAGCCTCTCCAGGCCACATCATTCTCCTCATCAATCTCTAGGCCCAAAATACGAACGCTACAAACTAATCCAAACAAGAGGTGGGAGAGGATAAGACAAATGGTTCGATGTCCAGCAAAGAGAGTGAATCACGCAAAAAAACAAAGTATAAAAGTATAGCTAGAGCGAAGAAAAGAAGAAAAGGCTGTTGCTCAGAAACCACGTGAACTTGATGTAGCTTTGAAAAAACTCAGGTTTCCAAAATACCACAATCTACGGGTGCGTCTTTACTACCACCTAGCCATCATCATCCGTTTCGATCATGGAATTGCAAAGAAGCGACAGCACTGAACAAAACGATCTTAACAGCGAAGCTTTGCAACATTTATGGTCACAGGGTTGGCTCTTTTCTTCGATTCATTCGACTGGGGCCAGGGTTATGCATGTTGCCTGCGAATACTCTCGGTCGCACAACTTTCAAGACGTCCAGCTCCTTGTCTTGAAGACACGAATACCTGCTTTTGAGGCTTGAAGAACCCTGAACTTCAACCCTGGGCCACTCACTAAACTCTACATTTATTCCTTGGCCCACAAACAGAAAACCACGCTCTTCAGAGTCGGGTTTTCTGCCTATTGGGTCGATCTTCATATTGTGGCAGTACGTGGCGGATGCCCAAGGCTCCGGTGGCTCCGCTGCGTAGTAACGTAGTGTGACACAGTAAGGGTGCACTTGGAGCTGCTGCTGTCTTCCACGGTTAAAGTTTTACACAAAATTTCGTGGTGCTGAGGTACCTGCTGCTTGGGAAGTGCCGTCGGCCTTCACATCTGGGGCCAACACTGGCCGCCCCGACTGGAGAGCGAAGCCCTCGAAAACCCTCATGAACCCGCCAGGATACTCATAAAGGCGCTGCATCCGGGACGGGCAGTTTGCCGGCTGAGGTCGGGCAAACTGTCGTCGTCATCAGAGTCGTCATCCCACACTATGGCCGACGCTCCTCCTGCGCATGCGTCGAGTCGTGTCGAGCTGCTGTTACCATGGAGGCAAGTCAGTCGGCACCTATGCGTTCTCCCACATGATCTCTTGCTTAGCTACAAGACAATGGCCCCAGGGCTACAGCGGCCAGCTGAGCTCCCGATTGGGCTAAATGCATTCAACCAGACGCGCTTGAGTCGGGGCCAGGATGCAAGCAAAACCCGTCGACTCCTTTATATACATCCTACACCCCAACAACTCCCCAAGACGCTGCCGTCAAACTCCTGAGAGCCCTGAACTCTGCATCCTGAACCTCCTCCTGAACTCAACTCACAGTAGACGTCCTGGAGCCACCTTGCTCCGGCGAACTCGCATGCTGTGAAAAGACCCGAGTGATTCCTGCGACTCGCACGGCGAAATGCCTTGGAATCACTGAAGGCCAGCCGGTCGAGTTTGGCGCATGCAAAGAATACGGAATGCTTTAATCTGCGCACTAAGAACGAACATTGGACTATTACATAAGCCATTCTTGCTCGCATTTGCTAACGATATGGCAGCAGCATTGGATAAACAAAGTGTCTTAGCAAACGTTAGAAGATGTCAGAGGGAGGTGGAAGATAGAAAGCCTCTCCAGGCCACATCATTCTCCTCATCAATCTCTAGGCCCAAAATACGAACGCTACAAACTAATCCAAACAAGAGGTGGGAGAGGATAAGACAAATGGTTCGATGTCCAGCAAAGAGAGTGAATCACGCAAAAAAACAAAGTATAAAAGTATAGCTAGAGCGAAGAAAAGAAGAAAAGGCTGTTGCTCAGAAACCACGTGAACTTGATGTAGCTTTGAAAAAACTCAGGTTTCCAAAATACCACAATCTACGGGTGCGTCTTTACTACCACCTAGCCATCATCATCCGTTTCGATCATGGAATTGCAAAGAAGCGACAGCACTGAACAAAACGATCTTAACAGCGAAGCTTTGCAACATTTATGGTCACAGGGTTGGCTCTTTTCTTCGATTCATTCGACTGGGGCCAGGGTTATGCATGTTGCCTGCGAATACTCTCGGTCGCACAACTTTCAAGACGTCCAGCTCCTTGTCTTGAAGACACGAATACCTGCTTTTGAGGCTTGAAGAACCCTGAACTTCAACCCTGGGCCACTCACTAAACTCTACATTTATTCCTTGGCCCACAAACAGAAAACCACGCTCTTCAGAGTCGGGTTTTCTGCCTATTGGGTCGATCTTCATATTGTGGCAGTACGTGGCGGATGCCCAAGGCTCCGGTGGCTCCGCTGCGTAGTAACGTAGTGTGACACAGTAAGGGTGCACTTGGAGCTGCTGCTGTCTTCCACGGTTAAAGTTTTACACAAAATTTCGTGGTGCTGAGGTACCTGCTGCTTGGGAAGTGCCGTCGGCCTTCACATCTGGGGCCAACACTGGCCGCCCCGACTGGAGAGCGAAGCCCTCGAAAACCCTCATGAACCCGCCAGGATACTCATAAAGGCGCTGCATCCGGGACGGGCAGTTTGCCGGCTGAGGTCGGGCAAACTGTCGTCGTCATCAGAGTCGTCATCCCACACTATGGCCGACGCTCCTCCTGCGCATGCGTCGAGTCGTGTCGAGCTGCTGTTACCATGGAGGCAAGTCAGTCGGCACCTATGCGTTCTCCCACATGATCTCTTGCTTAGCTACAAGACAATGGCCCCAGGGCTACAGCGGCCAGCTGAGCTCCCGATTGGGCTAAATGCATTCAACCAGACGCGCTTGAGTCGGGGCCAGGATGCAAGCAAAACCCGTCGACTCCTTTATATACATCCTACACCCCAACAACTCCCCAAGACGCTGCCGTCAAACTCCTGAGAGCCCTGAACTCTGCATCCTGAACCTCCTCCTGAACTCAACTCACAGTAGACGTCCTGGAGCCACCTTGCTCCGGCGAACTCGCATGCTGTGAAAAGACCCGAGTGATTCCTGCGACTCGCACGGCGAAATGCCTTGGAATCACTGAAGGCCAGCCGGTCGAGTTTGGCGCATGCAAAGAATACGGAATGCTTTAATCTGCGCACTAAGAACGAACATTGGACTATTACATAAGCCATTCTTACTCGCATTTGCTAACGATATGGCAGCAGCATTGGATAAACAAAGTGTCTTAGCAAACGTTAGAAGATGTCAGAGGGAGGTGGAAGATAGAAAGCCTCTCCAGGCCACATCATTCTCCTCATCAATCTCTAGGCCCAAAATACGAACGCTACAAACTAATCCAAACAAGAGGTGGGAGAGGATAAGACAAATGGTTCGATGTCCAGCAAAGAGAGTGAATCACGCAAAAAAACAAAGTATAAAAGTATAGCTAGAGCGAAGAAAAGAAGAAAAGGCTGTTGCTCAGAAACCACGTGAACTTGATGTAGCTTTGAAAAAACTCAGGTTTCCAAAATACCACAATCTACGGGTGGGTCTTCACCAATGCGTTCCGGACACTCGTGAAAGAAGGCAGACGCCACTCGTTCTGCGTCTTGACCGGAGGTCCTGCTCAAGATATGTCGGGGAGGCCCTGAATGTCCCAAAGCAGCTTTCCTAAATTTGATACGTAAGCCTTCGGAAAAAAAGGTTAGCTTAGCCTTAGCTTTGTTCACATCCAAGCCCCTTGAAGGCGAGCATCAAACCCCTAAACCTCACAAGGCAAAACCTTCAGCCAAGCTAAGCATGTGCCGTCCTTCCACTGCGACCGAGCCCACTGATGCTTATCTTGGGGCCGATATGTTTATCATAGAACCGACCCTGCTACAAAGGTAAGCCTGAAGGCTCTAAGCATCCTCGTGAACCAAAACACAGACATCTTGAGCTGGAACCTTCATCTGGCGAGCCTAGGGCCTAGGATTCAGGACTTCGGGCTGAGGGTTTAGGGCTTCAGGCTTCAGTGGCTTTCGGCTGGTAAGCGGGAGCCCTGAACCTGTCCTCGGCCCCCTCAGCACTTATCAAACTATAAGCTTCCCACAATCTTTCTGCGAACCCAAGGCTCCTCCTCGTTCAGGGCCCGCCTTCATCGCATTGCACCGGGAGACCGGCAAGCCTTCGCTGCTTTCGCTGGATGCCAAGAGCTTGGAGAAGTCCTCGTGGCCGAGACCTTGGCTTCATGGCAACGAAGGAGTGGGCTTATTGGGAGCTTCGATTGTGCAGGCACATGCCGCCACCTACAGTCCAACTTCCCCCACCCTCTCTTACCTTCTCCTGGTTTCGGGTCTTTAGCTGTCAGCATTTTGCGGGCCCAGGAACGATGAAGACGTGGTGGCTTCCCCAGCGAGCTGCCACCTGCAAGTTCAAGGCAGGCTTCAGCGCTCAGTTCCCAAACTCCTCTGAATCGCAAAGCTTTAGCCCCTGGACCAGGTAATAGGGGAACCCGAAACCCTGAACCCTCAACCCTTACCCTGAAGCCTTGCTAGAGAGGCATAGTACACTAGTGGGCATAGGCTTCTTCGACCCCCAGCGTGTTTGGGCTTGGGGTGTCGGAATCTCAGATTCTAAGCCAGGACCACACTCGCCGATGTCTGAAACCGAGACCTGCTAACAATCTGCGCCCGCATGCTGCGCTGCACAGGCATCTCACGGGACGCCAAAACCCTAAACCTTCATAAGCCTCCATCCGAATCATCAACCTCAGCAAAACCTGAACCCGAACCTGAACCCGGAACACAGCCGCAAGCTGCGCCTGATACCTCCTCAGTCACAAGATTCGGAGGGAACCTTCGAAAGGGCAACGGCTTGGGAAGGCTGGGGGGCCCAGGATGAGGTTTCAGAGAGCTCTGGGGAGAGGAGAGGGGGGGGGGGGTGAGGAACACTTGCCTGCCTTGGCAAGTCTGAGCTTTCTGCATCAAATCAACACCTCATGTGAACCTAACCATCGAGTCACCGAAGAGGCCTTCCACACCATGCAGCTGGGCAACACCAAGAAGACATCAAGCGACATCTCAGCCACTTGGGACGGCAGAGATTCTAGGGCAGCTTCAGAAGTTGAAGAGCCGACTCCTGTGTGACACTGTGTGACAGTAGGAGTGAGGGAGCCGAGTCTTCCGCAAGGGTTCTAGCCAGACCTCACAGCCGTATTTCTATCAGAGGGGCCCAGCTGTGACTTGATCACCATAAGCTAATGTAAGGCCCTTACAGCGTTGCGCTAAAGACTGGAGGACCACTCAACTTGAAGCTTACGCGCGATGAAGACTTGTGAACACGATCCTTCCCAGATAAAAGCAAGCCTTCTTCTCCCAAACCCCGCAATGTCACTGTTCTTGCAAAACCTTGCTCGACCCTCCCGAAAGGTTTACGCTATGCTGGAGGTAGCCTGAACCCAAAACCCAGCAGACAGGAACCCTGAGCTGCTGAGCTAAACCCTTAAACTGCCTTAAACCCACAAATGCGGAAGCTTGCGACCTCAGGGCCTAGATTACCACAAAGCGGTATGGAAACCCCAACCTGTCTAACCTGTCTAACCCCTAACCCTGAACACATTGAGGTTGCTGCTTTACGGTTCAGAGCGCTGGGCAGGAATTGGGCAGGAATTGGACAAACCCTCAAACCCTCCAAAGCCTCGTCGGGTTTCGGTTCAGCCCCTGAGCGCTATGACGATCCCCTGAACTCTGTCAGAGGCTGCGCCTCGCCTTGTTTGTCACGCACAGGGCGCTCCTTGGCGGCCAGGGTGACGGGCTGTGACAGGTTCTGGGGGGAGCCGGTGTAGGGCTGAGGGGTGCCAACGTGTCGGGTTGTTTCTGGGTCCTGGGTGGTGCTTCCGCTACACGTAAGATATCACGCTCTTCTTTCCCCTCACAATAACAGAAGCCAGCACTGCAAAACAAAGTACTTGTTGAGGCCAGGCCGCAGCAGAAAAAGCCTGAGACATCGCCATGTCTGAGTAACTGAGCAACCGAAGTTGACAAAAAAGGGGCGATGAATAGAAATTTGAGCCCTCGTGGCCGCAGGCTGGGCACATGTTCTTCGAGCGTACCCGAAAACCAAGCAAATTTGACGGGCAGTGTCGGGATCTGGGAGCGGGATACTGTGGGATACCTTTGCAGGATTCTCTGCTTATCCGCTCTCCTACTTCCATTCGAGCGGCGACACTCACCTCTGCCCCTGTGGTCTTGGTGGCAGGAGACCCTCCCAAAGCCTTCCCTCCAAAGGTCAACTGATGCAGGGGATCGAAGTTCCTTCATGTTCAAAAACATGGACACCTCTACAACAATGCCATGTCCGGGAAAGCGCTGTTTTCGCCAGAATCCAGCCAATGCAGCCAATGCAGCTGAAGCTGGCGGGCATACTCATCCCGCGGTGTGAGCTTCGACCTCCGAGTGGCACAGGGCCACCGGGGGTTTCGATGTTTATGATATGCAGGGGTTCAAGCAGGCCGGGTGTGCAGAGCAAAAGGCCAACTGCAAGCTCCTACACGTGCTTACCTTGAGCCTTTCTTTGAACCACACTTGCTTACATGAATGGACGTGCAAGGCAAAGGGGGGAGGCTCCGTTAGCGAAATGCAAAACCCTCCACGTCCTCTGAAGCCCCTTTAAATCCTTTAAGCCCCTCTGAAGTCGAGAGGCAGCGTAGCCCTCAGGTCCTCCGGTAGAGCGCAGCACGCATCCAAGGGCCCATGGCCAATGTCCAGGCCTCTGGAGGCTTCGAAGGACTTTTGAACAGGAAACAAACGGGAAAGCAGTCGGAAAGCCCAAAGTTGTAGGCTTTGGCGGGCGTCTCGAGTTTGTTTCCCCATAGCTGCACGTCGACAGGCCCTTTTGTTGGTCTAAGCCACCTCCAGTGCTCTTGCAAACCTTCCGGCAGCGTACATCCGCCCCTCCCACGCGGTGTGTGCTCGGAATTCGAAAGCCGTTTCGTGCAGGCTCTTGAGTTTAAGGGGCCTTGCTGAATGAAGGCAAACACCAAATCCCAAAAGCCTTCGGCTAAACACAGCTTCCTCAGTCCCAAGTAAAGCCCGCAGCGCATTGTCTCAGGTCTCGGCAGACCCGGTAGCTGTGCAAGAACAGCCGAGGACACCAGGCTAGCAGGCCATCTCCGTAAACCGCATCGCCTGCGGCAGCGTGGTCGGGTTTTCGGAAAAACAATAGGAATGAGCAGAACGATCACAGCAAGAACACTAACAACAAGCAGATCAACAAAAGAAATGAAGAGAACACGAACGATAACAGCAACAATCGCAACAACGACGGTGTATACTTGGAATATCGAGATTGCTCCCTTTCTCGAGTGGTCACCTGGAGACTGCCATTGTACAACTGAGATCGGACCAAGCTGACACACATGTACAACACCAACGCTTTTGTAGCTGTGTCTGATTCTAGGGTGCGTTTTCTAAGGGTTTCAAGGGCTCGCTTGTCACCATGCGCCCATAAGCCAAACATAGGAATAATGTGGCAGGCTCAATGAATTTGAGTGGTGGCGAAGAAGTGTATGTTGTAGAGATGTGGCGTCTTGTGCCAGTGTTCATCATTGGATATCATGGAATAAAGTCTGGGGACTTGGAGTAGGTGGAATGCGAACGAGCATGAGCGCGGGCGGACTGTGCTTGTGGCTGGCGCAGGCAAAGACGTGCGTGACAAGCCCTGACTTCCCCCCAACAGAAAGGTATGATGCCTGAGGTAGAGCTTTGTTTGTCAAACTGCCGGTGTGTGCAAACTTGAAACATTTGCCCCGCACGATCAGCAGCATCCTGTGCTGAAGACACAGTGCAAAGAGCTACGTGTAGTCCTGGAAGACTGCCAGCTTTCATTGTCAGGCTTGCTGGCAACTCATTTCAGGATGTCTGAGCGGAATGCTACTCCAGCTTCCGGTGAGTGATCCGGCCGTGCGCTTGTCTCCCGTGCCTTGCAGCTGCCGAGCTGTACAAACTGCTGTAATCCAGTGCTTCCTTGATGCAAGACTGGGCGGGCTGCTTGCACCCCCTGCATCATAAAACCCAATGGACGAAAAACACAAAGAAACGTAGCATGCTTGCAACAAAATCAAAAGCTGCTCAACTTGCATTGTGAAAGCGACCCCACCCACCCATGTGCCAAGATGTTCCACACAGACATTCACACAATCAAACCATCATTCAAACATAGCAAGAACGACAACAATAACTTAATAAACATAACAACACTTACTACATAATATGGACATACGCATGGCGTTTCGGCTCCAGGGGTCGGGGTCGTACCCGGAACCGCCTCAGATGGAAGTTAAAGGATCCTTGGGGGGGGGGGGGGGGGGGGGGGGGGGGTGGGGGTTCTTGAGCTTTAAGCCCCAAAAGATGTAGTGAGTTTCAGGGCTTAGGAACCCTAAAACCCATGTTCCAGAGCTGCCGAAGGGCCTACGAGAGGGTGACCTTCGTAGCGGAGGTGGGCTCGGATCTGGTTCCGCCTGCTCCAACAGATGCCGCAGCCCAAAGGCTTAAAAACTTCTGAAAAGCCGAAGCCCTCAAACCGCTTGAGCCCTAGACCTAGAACTTGAGGATTGCTCTGAGTTCAGGCCCCTGTTGGTGGACCTTGCTTAGGCATTGGTATCTACAAGGGGACAGTGATACTGACATAGCCTACATGCGAAGGATCACTTGCGGCTTCCGGACAAGTGCGTACTAGTGCGGAGATCACGGGCCTGGCTGCTTCAGGGTGAGGCTTTCCAACAGGTTTGAATAACTAGATTGCAGCAGTATGGGACATTCGCCGCTCTGTGTTTCCTGGCGGCAAGCGTGGACGCAATGGGCTTGTTGGACGTTCGGCTTCACGAATGCGGAAGGGGCCGCTATTCAACTCAACACCCACCCCGCTCCAGCCGCCTTCCAGTGTGCAGGCGCACTTCAACCAGGCTGACCGCAGCTTGCGCCGCTTCCGCTGTGAAGTGGGCAACGGACAAGATCTGCCACAACGAGCCGATGTATGTTTTGTACGGCCTTTGTCGAAACCTTACATTCTGGTCCAGGACCCAAAGATCCCTTAATACTTGCAGCACCCAGGCGCCTAGACCCGAGAAGCCCTTAACCACAAAACAGCCCACTTGAGGGTTCATGGACAGTTGCTTGAAGTCTCTCGCCAGCCCTCACTTGTTGTCGCCCTACTTCAGCTGTAGCTAGCCGCTAGCCCTTGAACCTGCAAGTCACTGGTGTAGATCGGCCTCGGTTCTTGCTGTTCGCAGCCTTGCTGTGTCCAGACCTTGCGTACAGAGTCTTGGACGGTCTCTTGAGGTTTCGGGTTTCCGGTTGTTTTGCGCATGGGGGCCCGAGGATCCTGCATGGCTCCCTGGTTTGAAGTGAGGTTCCGGGATGTGCTGGGGTCTAAGTGGTTTGGGGTATCAGGCTGCAAGCAGCTCCGGACAGTCCTGTGAACGTCACTGAAGCCTTTGCTTGCCTGTTTCATCGCTTCGTTGGATGTCCTTGCGCTCACATCTTTTTCTCTAAGTGGCCTTCTAGCTCAGCAGCTTGACGTTCGCCGTAGAGCAACGGGTGATCCAGCATCTTGACCTCGCATACGACAAACAGCCAACAGGCCCCACTGCCTGGAATCCGGCCTGCGGAGAAAGCCAGCCGCAGCAAAGGCAGAGATACTCCTGGAAGGAGCGGCGCTGGTCAACAGAGCTCAGAAGGCCAGAGTTCCCTAGAGGTACCATGACTTCCCCATGACTGCATGTGTCCTTGATGACGCATCTGGCACCAAACTGCAGCACCGCCTGGAGAATCGCAGCACCAACCATGCGGCATGCTTCAACAATCTTCAACACAAAACGCCCTGGAGGCGGAATCTGGTGGTGACCGTGGTGACTGGGGCTAGCGCCAGGGCATAGCCGCTGTAGCTGGTTGCGCACAGCAAGGGTCCAGAGGTCTCCACGTCCTGAAGGTCAATGCCCAATAACAGTAACATGGCAGCGATGCCGAACTTCATGCTACCAAACCGGTGATATTGATGCGTCAGCATGCTCTTAGCGTTGTAACAGGAGACAGGTCGACTTCACCTAACCCCTGCAGCCCTTACAGGCCCTTACTGAACCCCTTCTGTCCAGGCGGTGGAGGATGCCATGCTGTGCAGACGGGTCCGCGGAGATCGGTGACCTCGCAAGTGCTACCCACAACACACCGCTACCCACGTAGTCCCTTCACTGAGCCCAGAAAACCTAAGCAGCGCGGAGCAATTTGTCCAGACAATTATGAGTCTGGTTGCATCCTTGAATGGGATGCTTCTCAGTCTCTGGGGGCACTCTGGAATTGCAACTTCCGAAAGATGAGCTGAGCTAGCTGAGCTCTGGGAAGGGCTTCGCGAGCCAGGCCTGGATCCCAAGCTTTGAGCCAGCCACTGTGCCAGAAGCGGCCCCTGACAGGGTTCGGGGTCTTTCTTCTTGGTGCCCTTCAGAAAGCATGAGAAGGGTTTGTCTTGGAATGGCAGGAGGTGCCCCACAAGGCCACAAGGGATCTTTTCATTCCGGGACTGCACTGTCATGAGATAGGCGTAGCTCTCAACCGCTTCGGATTTGAGAGTCCGCTGAACCACCGAAGCGGCCCCTTCCTCCGTTAGTAAACCCTACTTTGCCCAGACTCTAAACGGCCCTAAGCCCTAAAACCAAACCAAACACCGCAAAGCGTGGGACGAAAAAACCCGAGCCCACCGCGATTTTTGAGGCTCGGAAATGAAAGGACAACTGGGGCTTCCTCCAATGTAAACGTTCTTCTTGCACCGATTCAAGGAACACCCCCCCCCCTTCACTCCCCCCACACCACTGTTGAAAGATGCTGGCTGGCTTGGTCGGTCAGGTTCTCGCTGAGCATGTCCTCTTCGGCGGCAAAGCCTGGCTGTTCACTGCCGAGGTCATATCAGAACATGTCACATGCTATTAAAGTAGAAACAACAATGAATATGATCGGGTTCAGCTTAGAAGCACAGGGCTTAGGACGGTCTAGGAGTCTAGGTTGTAGTCACACGGGACATGGCATGGGCAAATCCTCAGCAGAACGCAGCGATGCCATGCTTCAGGGGCAGAACGGCAGTCGGAGAAGCCCTCTGAATCATCAACCGGAGGACTTGTTGGGCCTGAGCCCGAACTAAGGATCCTCGAGGCATCCATCAACTTTTTCGACTTTGAAGCCTGGCACCCTCAGGCTGAAACGGGGCAGGGCAGCAGTACGCGCAAGCAGACGAACTACACTGCTCTGGGATTACTATGGCCAATTTGGCACCACTCCAGAATACTTTGCTACTGAGCCTAAAACAATCCAAGATGCCTGCCGAGACTTCCCTTCGCACATTGACCACCTCAGAAGGCCCGGCTTCTCATAAGCGACTATGTCGGTAAGATGTTGTTGGGAAAGGATGCCTTTCTGCTTCAGTGCTTCAGGGGGTGTTCCAGGATTGCCTCAGAACTGAGCCATGTCTGGTGGTTGTGTCAGCCTTCTGGTCTCCAGAGAACTTGCAATGGAGAAGCTACAGTCACCCTCAGAATGAGAAATTCCAGAAAGACGTCATGTCGGGCGGTTAGGAGCTTCGTCATTGGTCAGATTTGCTATGACCTGAACGGGCAACTCCCGTCCGAAACCCTGAACTCCCTGGCGCTTCTGGGGATTCGGCCCACCCAGTGGGCTTCCATAGGGCAAGGAGCTCTCTCCCAACCGCCAGCCTCATGTGTTGGGGATTAGGATGGGAAGTGCAGCTTCCTTAAGACAACCCGTCTCACTCGAACTCATCAGGAACCCACTGTTAGCTGCAATAGAAACCCTCAGGCGAAGTTGTGGGTTCAGGGCTAAGGATCAGGCCCAGGTGTGCAGAGTTAGGGTTCTGGGCATCTTGAGAACGTGATTCCGAAGGTAGGAAAGCATTGGATTCATGAGCGCAGTATGAGCTAAGCATCCAGGTGCACGTGGACATGCAGGAGCCCCAAAGCCTCTAAACTTCCCTCGCCTTAAACCCTGAACTCCCCCAAGCCACAGAAGCGAATCAGGACAGGCAGGCGATTCAAAAACCGGGTCCACGAATCAGATCTTGGAGCTTTGGGATCTAGACTTAGGGACTTAGGGTTTAAGAATGTTTAAGAGGGCTTCGGGCTCAGCATGCGTCGCCAAGCAAAGCCGACGAAACTGGCCTCAAGGCCTTAACCTCTGAAACACTCGGGGTACAAGTCCTATTCAACTCATACAAACTCCCAAGCATTCCTAAGCCCCGTCAAGACTTCAACCGCATGACTCGGCCCCAGTGGCACGGCAGGCGTGTCACTGAAAGTATCATCAGGCTCGATCGCCGCCGGCATCCTCTAAAGCAGGTTGAGGGGCGACGTCTACAGAACCCGCGCGCCAGAAGGAACTTTGTGCCGGCAACGGCAACACATCCTACATAACTACAGGATGCGGGCGTCCAGTCGACTTGAGTTCAAGAGTTGATGGACTGGGAGGGAAAGGGGGAGCAGTGTCGCTTACTTTCTGACGGCCATGCAATTGTTGCAGATGAAGTCTTCACCTATAGCCCAGGAGGGCTGTCCTGACTCCTTCAACCTCTGCAGCAGCCTTGCGGATGGCCGACGACGCCCGATCCATGTACCTCTGCAGCTTCCCGGGGCTCTAGGCTTTGGCTACCCAGCAATCGCCAAATCTGAAGAGAATTCTCGATGGGCGGCGCTCAGAAACAAATCCCCTGAACCGAAATGCAAGCAAAGCAGCTCCTCTGGCAGGGCATCAAGCTCCTTGAGTGAGCCAGCCAGGGCCGCTACCATCTCAACTGGGCAGGCCTTGAGGGAGCTCGGGAGGGTCGGGCTTTTGAATTTGGGGCTTGGGGACTCGGGGATTTGCGGGCTGAGAAAATCTGAATTCTAGGGGTTCTAGGGGCTAATGACATCAGTCCGATGCATAAGTTCCGTGGTGTTCTAGACGCTAGCTACGGCCCCAATGAACTCAGACTACCTCCCTAGACACCTCGCTATCAGCGGTGCGCTAAGGGGGCAAGCCTAGCTTCACGGCCCAAATACGTACATGGTGCCATGGCTCTGTATGAAAGCTACCGGAAACTACCAACATCCGCTGACCTCTTCCGCGCCACGGCCACAGATTTCAAAGGCTGTGTGGTCAAGCGCAGTAAGAGCTGCAGTTCCAGCAGCAGTCCTGCTCATCTGCGGCGACTCAAGGACAGGCAGCCATAAACGCAAGGTGGGAGAGCACAGCCATGCATGCAACAGCCCCCGAAGTAATTTAAATTGAGCCGAGTTACATCGCAGCTTCATGGCGGGATGCAGCATTGCCGGAGGACCAAGCAGTCATGGCAAGTTCCCGGAAGGGCATCGTAGCGCACTGCCTTGGCATCGAGCCGGAATGTGGGGAGAAGGCCTCTTAAGAGCCAGAGATCTGTCTTCCAGGCATAAGCGTTTCGCCACCGCCGCAGTTTAACAGTGGATGCGATGCGACTCAAAGGCTCTACAGTTTGCTTTGGGCTTTCTTGGGGTAGAATCTCTAAGTCTAGAGGCGCTAGACATCCGATGAGATAGGTCACCAACCCAAAGGCTTCAATAGCTTGGGCATGTTTAGGGTCGTTCAAGCATTGCCGCCCGGCTGCGGCGTTAGAGCTGACCCAACCGCAGCAAACACCGGCCCCTGCAAAAGCAGTGCTGGAGGCTGTTCGGGGACCAGTTTGGCAATGAAAAGACCTTTCGAAGAAATTCCTGGATGTGATCCTCTTACACCCAATAAGGGAGATGAAGTATAGCAAGGGCCCGCCCGGGGGATGTTTGATGGGATGAAGGACCGGGGATGTCGAGTGGCTACGCAAAAGAGCTTCATCTCCATCTAGCACAACCGAAAGTAAACACAACTCTTCGACAAAATGAGATCTGGCTCCACTGACCTCTATGGGCAGATGCCACTGCACCAACAGCTCGAAGTCACCGGCAGATTTGTTGAGCCACCATTGTCGTTGAGCCTTGTCCATGTGCCGTGATGTGCCAAGATGCTTCGAAGAAGTCTTGACTTCACGATGGAAGCGCCGTGCCAAAGCACAGGAGTGAAGTAAGTGATAGCCAATGGACGAGGTGGAGCGATTGCGACCAAAGCTACGATGGCTGAGTTTGTGGCTAACTAGTAAGCACGTTCGCATTCCGACGAAGCCGCGAACCATCACATGCGCATGCCAATGTCTGCGGAACTCCGAAGGCCGAATTGATTTCCGGAAGAAGGGCGTGGAAGTTATCCAAAGCAGCTATGAACATGCTCCTGACAATTTAAGTTGCCTCGTGAAACTTTCTTGTTCAAACGGTCTCTCCGCCTAAAGAATCGTCTCGGCAGAGCCGGTGGTCCAACGAAAGCCCTGTTTTGGGAAGCCGAACCACCCACAACGAGACCGGACAACATCTCAAGACACCATCACACATCGCCTCGCACAAGTCGGCAAATACCAATGCCACTTCTGTTCAGCACTCGCCGTGTGTTCTCGAGTACTGCAATGCACATGAAGATCTGTGCCGTGACATGTAGCTACACACAATACACGACAGGAACATGAAGGTGAATCCGAACCCGAACCAGGCCCCAACCCGTAGAGCCATGAAGTTCCTAAACCCGTCATTGCTCCGCACAGCCTCTTGCGCGGCCGACATGGCAAAGCTTCAGCCTGCATTCGTCGATCCTGCTGTAGCCGCAAATGTGGGCGGGGATTTGAGGTGCTGGGTATAGTGGTGATGAGAGCTGTCTGGCGGCAACACCGGGTTTGTTGGAGGTGTACAGGGTTTAAAGGCTTAAGAACTGAAGAGGTTCAAGATGCTATAAGGCTTTCGGGCTTATAAGCCTTGCAGGCTTTCAGACATGTAAGAAAACCAAGCAGAAGAGCACGCAGCAGCCTGCACTGCTGCGACGATTGCACACGCTCTTGTTGACTTCAACACCCTACGAGTACTCTCCACCCGGCCGCAATCCGAAAGAGCATTTCTGAAAGCCGAGCCTCGAGCCCAAAACACCCGAAAGCCACAAGAGCAAAGGCAAAGGCACTAAGCCAAAGCAGGCTCTAGAAACGTGCTGGTGCCCACTCCTTGCGTCGTGGGTGAGGAGGTGCCTGAATTTTTGTGTAGCCATGATTCTTACCGCCTTGCCAACCAACCCCTGTACTACCCCTACTCAAAGTCGAAACTCCAAGGTGGAAACAACTGAATCTCTCGACTCTGAGCTTTTTCAAGCTCCCTCTGCAACATGCGTTTCGACTCGATTCCGGACCCCCTGCTACAAATCCCCTTTATGGATCAACAACAATACTCAAACCAGGCTTCAGACACAAAGCGTTTAGAAGCATAGTCTCCCCTAGTGTAGCCCTGTCTCAACTGCATCGCGTAACCTAAACCTTCAACGCATCAAAAACCTCCATTCTTGACTACTGTATATTCTATCCAAGGCCTCATCCCTAGCCCTGAACACCCTAACCAGCTCACAACAGCTAAGCCTCTACGGAAATGTTTATCCTCTTAGTCGAGTTGCGCGGGATAACCTCCGCCGCAGTTGCTTCGGCAGAGGGCTTGCTCAAGGTGCCTCACAAGTTATTCGGGAACAGGATGGCGCATTCGGACGTGGGAGGCCTTAGGTTTAGTTAGGGTCTGGGTGGCTCATGGCTTGTGCTTGGCGCTAGGTGGTTGACGTGGAGTTTACGCTTGGGAATGATTGAATGCCTAGCCTTGCACCCCTTTCTGCGGCCCAAGCCTACCGTGGCGAAAGACCAGACAGCGTTGGCAAGCCCCTGCGCAGCAGATTCCGCTGCGTGCTGGACCTACAAGGACAGGAGATGAATAAAGACGCAACAAGAACGTTCTATACCAGAACCAAATCTGTACTGGCATGGAGTTCATAATGTTCCGAGTGGTCTGCTGCTAGCGTGCGCACGCGTGCGTGCCCGCAAGTGCGTGCATGTCCGCGCGAGACAAGATCCGTATCAGACATGAAAGTCCAGGAGTGGCAGAATTCTTATCCGCCGAGGCCTCAGGCCGAAGGTGTATAGGTTGTGCAAATCCTCCACACGTCGGCTCCTTTTGGTTGCCTGGAATTGGTACCCCCCCGTAGGCGACCACGATCTGAAAGCGGACGTTTCGCCAGGACCAGGGGCAGTCGAAGCCCAGCAGGCCCCCCCCCTCCCGTCCCTCATTTCCCCCCTGCCCTGCCCCCCCCCCTGCCCTTTTTCGCCTCTTGCGTTTTGCTTGAGAACCCACACCTCAACTGTGAGCAGGTTACGAATCCTGTCCAAGCTGAACCGTCTAAACCCTGAACCTTGAACCTTGAACTTGATTTGATATTAGCGACGCTCCTATGTTCCTTGAGCCAAAATTAGCGTTCGTCGAGGTACATGTACTCATCCCTTTAGGAGAATACGTGTCCGGAATCACCCCTCCTGGACGGATGCGGGTGAGCTAACGTCCACTGTAGGACACTGTACACTACACTACTGCTTTTGCTATTCCGCTTCTACCGGAAACTAGTTCAAAGCTTATTCGGCGCCGGTGCCCTTCTAGCACACAGTCGCAACACAAACATTCACTGCTGGAACGCAACCGAGCGCTCCGCTACCATGATTTGCTGGGTGGCCGCTGTAACGGAAACTAAAAAAGGTTGTAACGGAAACAAACGGCAAAATGTAGCGGAAAGCAAAAAAAATGTAACGGAAACAACGGCCCGGCGAGTCGAAACAATGCGCGGCTGTAACGGAAACCAAGCAGACCTGCAACGGAAACCAAAAAGAGATGTAACCGAAATCACGGAAAACTTAAACCGAAACCTACAAAAACCGGCTACGGAAAGGCGCACCAGAAGGGCACGGCTCTTTTTCTTCCTGGCATGCAAAGGCCGTTCTGCAGGTACTTTTGGTCAGCGTCGCCTCGCGGGACACAAGAGGGCTTAGTGCTTCCAGGGCCTGTAGGGCGAGGGTTGAGGGTTCAGGGCAAGCCGCAAAACCCACAACCCCTGCAGCCGGTCGGAACTTCTTCAAGTTTAAACCCTAGACCCTAAACCCTGAACTCTAAACCCTTTTTCCCCCGAACCTATAAAACCCCTAAACCCTACAGCCCCGAACCCTAAACCCGTAAACCCAAGCTTGTCGCCCGGATCTCGTAACTTCTGCGGAGATCCGGGCGACAAGCTTGGGTTTACGGGTTTAGGGTTCGGGGCTGTAGGGTTTAGGGGTTTTATAGGTTCGGGGGAAAAAGGGTTTAGAGTTCAGGGTTTAGGGTCTAGGGTTTAGGGTTTTAGGGGACAACTTGAAGAAGTTCCAGTCTGCCTGCTCTGCGGAGATCCGGGCGACCGGCTGCAGGGGTTGTGGGTTTTGCGGCTTGCCCTGAACCCTCAACCCTCGCCCTACAGGCCCTGGAAGCACTAAGCCCTCTTGTGTCCCGCAAGGCGACGCTGACCAAAAGTACTTGCAGAACGGCCTTTGCATGCCAGGAAGAAAAAGAGCCGTGCCCTTCTGGTGCGCCTTTCCGTAGCCGGTTTTTGTAGGTTTCGGTTTAAGTTTTCCGTGATTTCGGTTACATCTCTTTTTGGTTTCCGTTGCAGTTTTGTTTGTAGTCCGTGGCACCCTAATCCTTCCAGTGGCTGTAGTTTCTCGCTTAGGAAGGTAGTTTCTGTTACGCCCCGACGCCGTTTCTGTAACGCCCCGAAGCCAGTTTCCGTTACGCCCTTTCGTAGTTTCTGTGTCGTTTTCAGGGGGGCAGTTTCCGTTACAACCCGCCAATTTCCGTAACATACTTTACTCTGATTTGATATTAGCAACGCTCCTATTTTCCTTGAGCCAAAATTAGCGTTAGTCGAGGTACATGTACTCATCCCTTTAGGAGAATACGTGTCCGGAATCAGAACTCTACCCTAAACCCTAAACCATAAACCCGGAACCCTCAACCCTAAACCCAACCCTTTTGCTTGGGGTCCAGCGACTTGGGCGCTGCGGAATCACCATGCTCATGCGGATGCGCTGGGCCGGGCCGAGGCGGGTCGCGTAGCGTTAAAATTAAAGCACTGTGGATCATGGTAAAACACTTGGAAGTTCCAAGCAAAAAATTCCTGTCTGCTCCCAGTTGCTCCAAAGCCAGCAGCGGCATCCGTGGGCGCGGCGCCAGTGCAACTCGGAGTCGCAAGCGCCTTTGCAGTTTCAAATAGTTCCCGTTCGGGCTTCGGACTTGAGGCACCATTGAGCTGTCACACCAACCGACTAGGAACGTTGCAGACCCTTCCACTAGAAATTCTTCGGCGACACATTGAAACATGTGGGTCCGGCTTTCCAGAAGACAGAACACAAACCCAAACCCGAATTGCACGAAGGCCGAGAAGATGGACCGCACAAAGCTTTCTCATGACTCCGCTTCGCAACATCACTTTTGTTAAGAGCTGATCAGGAAGCTTCTCAGCAAGATTGCCATCTACACCTAAACTGTCAACCATCCTGAACAGCTGGTACCTGTGCCGTGTTGGCCGCGCACTGCGTGTCGGGATCCCGGAGGCTCTCCACGGCCTTTCACTAAACGCAGCAGGCTTCTGGCTGGGTTTCCGGGTTTAGGGGGAGCTTCGGGAGGCCTTTGGCGCAGATGGAGGTGCCCTCTGACACTGAGCCAGGTTACGATGAGATGCCTCAGGAACAAGTTCCTAGATCCGAACTTACAACAACACCCCACACCCCTGGGCCGCCGCCAAAACCCCCCTCATCTTGTGGTGTGGTTGTGGGTTGGTTTTAGGGCTTTAGGGCTTTTAGGGCTGAGGCCTGGTTTAGGGTTTTGGGGTTGGGGCTTGGGGGCTTTAGAGCTTAGGGTTTTAGGGTTTAGGGCTTCTTGAGTCACTGACTCAAGAAGTGAGGCCCTAAACCCTGCCCCACAATCGAAAATTTTCTCCAAGTGACGCGGCCTTCTCGATTTTGCAAAAAGATCTGAGAAGGCTACATTTCCCGGAGAAGGCCACAAGATGCGTTTGTGTGGAAATCATGGGTTCAAGATTTCCCCCACACGCGTGGCCTTCTCAGCCTGTTGAGACAGCTAGCAAATTTGAGCGAGTGGTGATTGCGGGGAAGGATCCCATCTTGGGGTTTGAAGGTTATAGGGTCGAGGAGGGGAGGGGAGACCGCGGGGAGGGGGATACCAGGGGTGGGGGGGGGGGGGCCGAGAACGCACGGCGCACAACCATTGCACATCTCTTTCTCTCTCTATATATATATGCAACTTGTTGAACTCATGATGTACACACAGTTATACCATCACAGCAACTCAATTCCAGCGGTTCATGCCTGCCCCACGGCTATCTCCATCAGCGGCCGGTCACGCTGCTGCGAGGTTGCAGGGGTTCACGACAGATTCCTTGCGGAGCAGAAAGGATCTTCAGGGGAGGTCCGGTTCGATTTGGATGGCCACCTGAACCTGCTACGTGCTGAGAAGAGATTCTCTGCCAGTACCCCCTGTGCCGCCAAACCTCCAAGAATCAACAGGCGTGCCACATGTGCTGCGTCTCCGAAGCGCGCGTGTAGCTTGCGTCGGCAACAGAAAGCGGCTACCATGGGACATTCAACTCAACCTCAATCCCAAATCATGCCTCAAGATTCCCGAAGCGACTATATCAACCGCCGAAACAAACTCAACTGAGACCCTACAATTCCCTAAGTCATGCTCCCATTCTGCCGTGGTTCGAGGGACCCTGGGGCGCAGAACGCTGGCTGTGCGAGCGACAGCAGGCGGCCTTGCGGAACTTGGTGGTCCAAGAGGGTTGCTTTGCGAGGTGTAAGTGAGTCAAAAGCAAGTGTTTGGAAGGGTAGGTTAACGATAGGTTAACATTAACGATAGGTTAACAGGGCTTGACGACGGCAAATCAGGAGAAATAGGCCTTGGTCCTTTGGGGTTGGGGCTTCAACCGCATCTAGTCAGCTAGATGCTGCTCGCCAGCTGAGACGATTGTCTGAGTCCCCACTGACTGTCAAACCCACAGACCTCCGAATTCTCAAAACTCGGTGTCGCCGCAGCTTCTGGAGCAATCCACGCTGCATGGTTGGGGATGAAGGCGTATGCGCTCGATGTCTTGGGGGCACAGCAAGGTACCCGGTACCCTGATGCACTTCACACCGGCAAAAGTACATCCTTGCTTGAAGCACATCCTAATTAAAAGCCCTCCCACACAAGGCTCACACCCCAACCTTCCGGATGGCTTACGGAAGTTTGGGCTGGGCGATCTAAATCAAGCGCCCGGCCTCTGGCAGGGCAACGCCTCGTGGCTGCAAAGTTCCGCGCCACTGTGCTGTGCTGGCCAGTTCCCGGGCAGACCCATCCTACGAGCCGCAACCAATGTGGCTAACGCACCAATTTTTAAAATTATACAGGGAGGTTCAGGGTCGAATCAAGCTCCAAACATGTGATGGTTGCGGTTGACCCTGCTTTTCAGAACCTCCTGGGCCAACCTTGCGTAAGAGCCTCCACTCTGCAACATTGCAGCATCGATGCTATGCGCTCCGAAACCCCAAGCTTGCTTCAGGCACGCCATAGCGTGAATTGCGAGCCTCCGCGAAACGGCGGGCTGCACTCAAAAGCTCCGCGGCTAAAACCGGATCAGCAGCCCACCTTGTTGTTGGGATGCGCAAAACACAGGGGGGGCTTAGGCCAAGACCTATAGGGCGCAAGCATACGAATTCCCAGCTGCATCTCATGCGATCGAGTTCTTGAAGCAGGGCTCATGTGCAAGCTGACCTGTTGAAAGCACGCAGAATCAGGAATCAGGAGTTGGACTCCAAACACGTGTATGACACTAATCTTGCTGCCCAGACACTCACGCTTCCCATCCGGTCTCTTGGCCACCTTGACAACAGAGGACAAACCCTGCAGAACGTGAGTCCTCTCTCAGTCTGGTGCCACCTAGTAGTCTTTGTCTACAATCAAAGCAGCTGCTCAATACACGCAATTGGTTTGTGCGGCAGTTAGTCAATGGGGTGTGCACACTTGCAACCTCCCAAGCGAGTCTGACACGCCATGCAGTGCGGAGTCAGCAATGCAGAGTACACCACATGGTCATCTCAAGTTGCCTTATGCACCAGACTCGATCTGCTTGCCAGTCGAGTTTGCTGGTGCCAAGGGGGAGGATTGGCTGGACCCTCTATTCCCGTGCTTAGCCCAAGTCTGGCCGTCGCAGTTCTTCAGACAGCCTACTGATCTAAAACAGGGTTTTCGGGGCGATGCTGCCTGTGAGGCTAGCCGCGGTGAACGGGTTTGCATGTCACACTTAAGACTCTACATCAGCGACTCTGACATCCTATCTCAGGTGCCTGATTCAAGGCCGTAGCGACGTTCACGGCGTTCAGCTCCTGGAGAGGGGCGACGTGAGTGTTATCTAATGTTCAATAGTTAACATGAACAACAACAACAACAACAACAACAACAACAACAACATTTTTGCATTGCACTCACTGCCAGAATCAGCATGTGGACCTCTGATCACTTTGGATCCTCGGCACGTCGGCTACTCTGTATCCGCCTTGGGAGCTCCAGCAGTCTTTGCTAGTTCGTACTTCACGCCCCTCAGGGCTGCTGAAAGGATTGTTGTGCACAGCTATGTTCGAGTATGTGGAATGCATCCGCCCCTCAGGGCTGCGATAGCGCTGTGCTGGCTGGACACCCTACGACCGCCTCCTACTGGCTCACCTGCACCCGCGACTGCTGCAGTGCCGGCTGGCCCCGATGTTGTGTTGCAGGCTATAGCTGTGCGCTAGCTGAGTTTGGTGTGATTAAGGCGGGCAAGTGTGATATAGAAGGTCTCACCCGCCTTTTTTATTTCACAGTCCGGCCTTTTGGACTTCGAGAGGATCGCTTCCTCCAGATTGCCAGGTCTCACTACCTGCTATACTGAATCTGCTTTGGCAGAGTACTTAAGGATATTCAGGAGGAAACCTCCTAATCTGATGCAATGAATCAATGAAGAAATTGAAGTTGGCACGGAGGCAGCCTCCGATATCAAGTACTCAGCACTGCAAAAGAGTGAAAAATAAGCGCGGCTACCCCGACACCCTACTGTGAGTCACTGCGTCCAGCACCCACGCACCAGCTGTTTAGCGAGCCGTACCTCTGGTGAGGCCGACACTCAGCGTTCCTGTCTAGTGACGTCTCACACAGGTAACGCTAAACAACTGGCAGAGGGCCGTAGGCAGAGCGCACCAAGGCGGCCTTGCACGTTCCAAGAAGGATGCCCAAGTTGGAGGCAGGGTAGCTAAGTTTGCGAAGCCTGACCTGGGACGCCTTGCGCGGCTCCTGGGGCCAGCGCTGCGACAGGGCAAAATTGCATTCCTGGTCGAGAAAATGTGACCCCAACTGACCGAACTTAACGAGGAGGTCTCACATAGGCACGAGTACTTTGCGAAGAGGGAAGCACCTGACCTGGGACACCTTGCACGGCTCTCGGGGCCAGCGCTGCGACAAGGCAAGGTTGCATCCGAAAAAGTGACCCTAAGCTGAACCCACCGACCTGGAGGAGACCTCACATGTTCTGAAGTGCGCGCAGGGCTCTTTCAGATGCTTCAGGTTCAGGGACAAGAATGGGTCAGCTTGGCCTTAAGCTACAGCAGGCAGAACGGTCTACTGTGAGAAACATTACCGGGGAGGAAGCCTCCGGAGGAAACCTCCGCATGTGAAAGTTTCACGCAAGAGACTATACATCTTAGCACGAGATCATGGCTTTATTGCGCGCAGGGCAGCGTTCATGCCGAGTTGCCTTAGGCAACAGCAGGCAGATAGGTCTACTTTAAGAAGAAAGAACACTGCTGCGGAGGAAGCCTCCGGAGGAAACCTCCGCATGCGAAGGTAGAGCGAGCTAGACCCTTACGTAGAAAGCCAAATACGATCCCTGGCAAATTTGATCCGAGAGGAGCGTAGTTCGCCGTGGTGAGCGGTCATCATCTGCGAGATACGCCACTTCTTCTCTCAAAAAACCTGTCCTATAATGCCCAGATCTCCAATCATCTCCTAGATGAATGATGAATGCATATAGTCGAAAGCTGACCACAGCGGTTGTCGTGCCATTATCTATAAACTCTGGAAGCTCCAGAGTTGTGTCTAAAACTTGAGGCCGATTTGTTTTCTCCAAGTGCTCAAACCTTTGGATCTGAATGCAAACCAGGTTCACTCCCGGGAGTAGCCCATAGGTGCTCCCCCTGTGCGCCCACTGAGAAATGGCTTGCTGTAGTGTGGAGAGGCCATCTGGTGGGTCAGGCAAGAAAAGAATCAAACCCCCTCTATCCTCTACGCTGATTCTTTCCACGGGTGCTGTGATTTGAACCCTCGCTTCCCAAACATCTGCTGAAAGCACATGGGATCTCTGAATGATATGTGCTAGAAACTGGGATGCATCTTCTTGCCTGGGTCTGAATCGCCATCCCGTCAGCAGAGGACGTAGCTGTCGCAGCCTACGAACATCCACACTAGAAGAACGACCCCCTACTGCGTCAATTTCCGTCAATATTTGTCTCAGATATGGATCAGAAAGAATACCCTCTGATGCAAGCGAGGCAAGGATATGCACTACTGTGTGTGCATAGCACAGTTGATGCGGATTATGATAGGCCAGAGACCAGGCTGTGACGGGCACTGACGAAGGTCTCCCCTCTGCTGGTGCGTCTCGCTGGGAGCTTGCTGGTGCCTGGTGAGACCGAATCCTACTGGTGGAGGAAGCCTCCTGGGAGGAACCCTCCTGCGCACGAATCCCAAGTTCCGACGTCACAGTGCCATATTCTATGTGTGGGTCGGTAGACTTTTTCATTGCTGCACTCATGGCATAGACCTGCAGCAGGACTACACACTGGTCCGCGTGGCGAACCGGAGCGTCAACCATCATTCCACAATATCTGCATTCCTCCTTTTTATGAAGCAGTCTCTTATGTGTGCGCATGTTGGCATAGACTGAGTCTGAGGCCCCTGCCCAGAAAGCCTGGTGCGCTTTCTGAATGTGCTGTTTGACGCCCTTGTGACCGACAATGAACTGCCCACAGAGGCTGCAGTAAGCCCGCAAGTGCTTGGTCACATGAGCCTTTTTGAGAAGCAGGTCAGGGTCTCTTTTCAATTGATCCTGAACACTTGGTTGGAGCAGCAAGGCTGTGCTCTCCGCTCCTGAGCAGGACGATGATCGCTCCCTCAGCTCTGGAAGCTTTGAACATGTTCCCGATTCAACATGTCTGCGAAGCTGATGCATTGTGCGCAGCTGTTTGTGACATGCTGCACATTGCGGGAGTCCCTGCAGACTATGTGCGAAGACTTGGAATTTAGGGCCCAACTGGTTTGCTCTTTGGCCTCCATGCTTCACTAGTGTATGATGCTGCAATCCCTTGTTGCTAGAGAAACTTCTATCACATAGCGAACAGGGCACTGCATGATCTTCTTCGGCCAGAGCCAATTGCATGGATTGAAGTAGCTGCTGTTGGCTAATCAGCCGGCTGCGTAGACCCAGGTACTCTTGGATCGTTTGTAAGTTGCCTGTTGGCTTGGCAGCATCCATCGCATCCTGATAGTTCCTCATTTGCCTGAGAAGAACTTCCTGAGGAGTTTGGATCTTGTGGTGCTCAAACAGCTCTGTGGTTTCCATTCGACTAAAATGCTGATGCTGCTGAAAGATAGATCTGAGCATCCGAGAATATTTGCTCTGGAGCTTTTGCAGTCCCGTGTGGGTGATTCCCGTGGAGACTATGCCATGCAAGAGCGAAGACTCGACATACACTCGCCAGATCTCTAGTTTCTTCGCCTCGTCAAGGGCCTTCGTCGTGCACAAGATACTCCTAAGGAGCTCAAATTTGCCTTGGGCTTGAGAAATCCTGTAGTCTACTGTTTGATCCTTGTAAGCACCATAGCTTAGTTGCACTCCTAGATAGGTCAGCTGATGATGAATCGGAATCTGATGCCCCGAGGGAAGAACCAAATGGAGCTGATTTTTTAATCGTTTGGTGTATTGCTTGCGGAAGAGGGATTGCTGAGTGCCTTGCACCATGAGCAGTGCCTTGGATTTCGCTGGATTGACTTCAAGGCCGACTTCCTCGAGGGATTGAAACAAAGCTTCAAGCCGAGTGAGTACCTGCTGCAGTTCGGCAAAGCTTGTAAAAGTTTCCTGATGGAGAAAATCGTCAGCGAAGACAGTGAGTATATCTCTTGCCTGACTGCTGCCAGGCCCCCACTTCTTCTCCATCCTGTCCATGACTAGCAAGGTTAAGGCAGACCACAATGCAGGAGCTAATTTACATCCCTGTTTTATTCCCGAAGAAGTAGGAACACTGAACTCAAGCCCATTAGTGCCCATGTTGTACGATGTACAGGAGTGGAGTTGTACAACAAAGTCCTTAGTGGTTTGATCTATGTTGAGCTTGTCTAAGGCTTCAAGCAACTCTTGTCTGTTGACAGAGTCAAAGGCTTTGCTCAGATCGACGGAGACTGTTAAGGCCCCTGCCAATGGGAGCCTTCTCTGACCTTGCTGTGCCTTGTGCATATCCCGGCGATGCTCTTGGCGCATTTCCTGCACGAGATCCAGATGCTGACACGCTTTTGCAATGGCATCTCGCACCCCTCGCTTCCGAATATATGCAAACTGCGGCTCAAGCTGTGAGCGCTCTTGCAGTGCCGGTGCTATGCGAGTCTTGACAGCACCTGCAAGCACTTTGCCTGGAACACTTATTACTCCTATGGGCCTCAAGTTCTTCATAGCTGTAGCTGGCTTACCCGGCTTTGGAATCCATGCAATTCTGGGGTCCTTCAAGTACGGTGAGATATCTGACTGAGAAACCTCTGTGTTTATCAGATCAGCGATCTTCACATGAGCCTCAGGCGCTAAGCTCTTCCAGGCCGAGACCGGGGCCGACATGCTGGGAACCGCCTTGCCCACCGGAATTGTTTTTATTTGCTCGGCCACCTGCGAGGCATTGACAGCCTCTCGTGGTCTGGCTGCCACCGGATCCAGGGGAGATCCCTTGGAGAAGATGTGACTCGAATACTCTCGCATCGCACTTGCCGAGGCCTTCGCATCTAGGGGCTCACCTGCTGAATCCCTGAGATTGACCCTTTGAGCAGGTTTCCATGGGGCCAGCTTTCTAAGGGCTTGGGACAGTTTGTGAGACTGCTGTCTCTTGTCCTCTTGGGCTTGAAGAAGGAGCCTCTCCTGCTTTTCAAGTTTTCTTTGCTTCTGCAACTTTTTGAAAGATTGGGCCTCTGTCTTTATGTCGCTGATTAGCTGTTGGCACTCAGGAGACTGCCCATTACCGGATCGCTTGTGCTCCTGAATTTGGCGCACCTTTGTCCAGTAAGCCTGCTGAATGGGCCCTGCAACTGGCTGAGCCTTGCGAGGCGGTGGAAATTGCTCAGCAGTGACTCGAACCATCGTCCTGTCGATCGATTGCCAAGAGTTCTGCTCAGCCACACTCTTGACTACTTCAGCTGTTAGGTGCTTGGAATAAGCCTGCCAGTCTTCATCTTTTCGTCTAAAGCTGGCATCAAGTGCAGTGGCATCAAAGGGCTTTGGTTTGCTTGGGGGAGGACTGTATGGAGGAACAAACAGTTTGGCTCTGACCGGGAAGTGCTTGGAGCCATCCCGGTACGCTGCAACTGGAAAATTCTTATCGGAGGAAGCCTCCTTCGACCGCCTCCGGGCATCCTGCAGTCGAACTAGCAGAAAATCAATTTGAGACTCATATGTGCCATCGCTGTTTGCATAAGTGCTTTTATGGCTGGAGGCCCATGTGTTGAGCGCTGTCAGCCCACAAGATCTGCACAGTTCTGGGAGCGATCTAACATCTGCATTGGCAAATCTGGCTCGGCGAGGCACACTGGGCCCAATGAAAGGACGCTCTGTGACTGCATGTGAGTTGAAATCACCGGCAACAAGCATAAAGTCTCTCAAAGGCACTCTGCGAAGGCGAGTCTCAAGTTGACTCAGCACATCCTTCCTCCGTCGTCTATTGTCCAACTTGGAGAGTTTGGAGTCCCAAACATGCTGATACAGATTGAGTAGATGGATCCTAGACCTCTGCCAAGGAATCATGACATGCTGCAGGTGCCCTGGAATTATGGTGGTGCTGCGAATCTCTGAGAGCTGGGCCACGGATCGATGCACAAGGACAACGAGGCCGGCTTTATGTCTACTCTCAGAGCCACAGGTGAGGACTGACCATGGACCTGAGCTGTAGGTTTGGTCCTGCTGCCAGTGGGATTCTTGCAGCAGCACAAGCTTGATGTTCTGATATTCTGGTGTTGCCAAAATGGCCAGAAGCTCATTCCAAACTCGACTCGTTATTGAACCTGCGTTCCAAGATAAAACCTCAATTTCATATTTGTGGTGATACTGTCTGATCGGCTGAAAAGATTGCTTCTCTGGCTTCTCAGAGACTGCAAATTGGTCTTCATGGGCTCCTAGAGCCTGAGCGGTCAGAAGTCGGCCTTTGTAAAGTGCTGCTCCCTTCGCCAGGGCAACTTTACAAGCTCTTTGGTAGCTTCGCTTGCCGGTTTTGTTCATGGTTAGCTGACTTCGCTGCGCATGCTGCTCAGCTTCATCGGGGGGCGCTACTTCCCGAAACCCTCGATTCTGATCCATGGCTGGACCCTGGGACTTGGGACCCAGGCACCCAAGAAAGCTCGCTACGGCTACGAGAAATAAAATCCTCATCTTGGGCCAGAATCTTAACAACAACAACAACAACAACAACAACAACAACAACAACAACAACAACAACAACAACAACAACAACAACAACAACAACAACAACAACAACAACAACAACAACAACAACAACAACAACAACAACAACAACAACAACAACAACACAACAACAACAACAACAACAACAACAACAACAACAACAACAACAACAACAACAACAACAACAACAACAACAACAACAACAACAACAACAACAACAACAACAACAACAACAACAACAACAAACAACAACAACCAACAACAACAACCAACAACAAACAACAACAAACAACAACAAACAACAACAAACAACAACAAACAACAACAAACAACAACAAACAACAACAAAAAACAACAAACAACAACAAACAACAACAAACAACAACAAACAACAACAAACAACAACAACAACAACAACAACAACAACAACAACACACAACAACAACAACAACAACAACAACAACAACAACAACAACAACAACAACAACAACAACAACAACAACAACAACAACAACAACAACAACAACAACAACAACAACATATATATATATATAGATACATATATAGATTATGGGTTTATGTGTTTATTTGACGATGCTCCTCCAGACGGATACAGATACAGACACAGATATATGACGGCAGGGATACTGTATCAATTCTGCCCCGCCTCGAGCACTCTACATCCTACATCCTCAACTGCTAAGCCCTAAACCGCGAGCCTGCAAACGAGACCTGGCGACTTGAAGGACGATGGCCGCAGAGCCAGCAGCCACAAGTTGACGATTCAGTTTCACCTCACTGGCTCTGAAAAAATCGACTTGGGGAATTAAGGCCCCCTGTAAAAAAACGGGGGGATTCAAAGCACTGTACCAGTCTTCCTTACTTCGTTACATGAACATGTGATTTTGGGCACGGGGGCCATGTAGCCTTCGACAGTCTACCCCAACATGCGCTTAAATCACATTCCCCATTATACACCCCTGTACTGTTATGGTTTTCCTACAGGCCTTAGGTTTTTGATGGGGTGGAAGTGATTGCTGAGGGGTGGCGTTTAGGGGCGCAGAGTGTAGAGCTTGAGGCTCTGTGGTTACAACGGCGTTGCTCTAAGCAGAGCGCAAAGCAAAGCCTAAATTCGCCTCGACAATCCTATGCCCTCCGTTTGTGTCCTGGTGGCGAAGGCTTAGCCCCTGAAGCGGTCCAAATGGCACTGGCATTTATAAAACGAAGTTTTGGAATGTCACGCAATGGTTCTATGAGCGGGGTCCAGGCCTGCATAGGACTGCGAACAGCAATCCAGATACTTCCTTGTTTCTGCGCTCCACCAGTCTACGAGACCCTACTTAGGAAGGTCGAGAAAGACCACCTCTTCCCAACTCTGGCTGGATCACTGCTTCCTGGCTCCATCCAGATCAGCTCGCCTTGCTCCTTTGTGGTTTCTCGGGACATCTCAGGAGGTGTAAGTCACTCCTCACACTCACACTCTGAGCCCTTGCTCTTCCTGCAGCCCATGAGCAAGCTATCCCCAGACCAAGCCCAAAAAGAATCCTACATTTCGCTGTCGGCACACGTTTGCCTTCCTCGGACTCCAACACCCTGTAGACTGCAAGACCTGGAACCCTAAATGATGCAAAGACCCTAACACATCCTGAAACCTTAAATACCCAAGAACTCAACAGCTTTCTGGGCCTTCTTTTCGGTGCTGCACGCAGATGCACGAGACTGCGCACCTCACGAGTCTTCAGGTTTAAGAAGCGGCCACCTGCACGCTTAGGCGCCAAGCCCACTGTCTGTCGTAGCATCTTGGCATGTGTGCATTTTCAGGAGAGTGGGTCCATTCTCCCAGCGTTCTAAACCCTCTGCGAAATTCCAACATGCAGGGCCTTCCTGCTGCGGTCCCCGGGCACAGCAGT